AAGTCTGTCAGTCCTGAACTGACTGAACTCACTAACAGGTGGCAAGGACGCGAAGAACATGGAAAGAAGGCGGGAAAGATGGTGTCTGAGTGCACTCATGTGTGTAACCTTAAGAACGATGCCGAGTATTTGCTCTGTGCCCGTAGTGTGGTGGGAGGGTGTGTGTGATGGTTTCAGGTGTGGACATAAATACTCAGAAAGTTGGAAGGATCAGACAATTTACTCTGAAGCATTCATTATAATGATATGGTTGCCATGGTACCCATCAGACCTCTAAGTTGCAGACACAAACCAATGCTCATTACTATGACAACTAGTGGCAAGTTTCTCTGTCTTTGCCTTAGTAGGCATTTCAGCCAATAATAATCATGAGAGACTTTTGAAATACACATCTCTGCTGCTCATGTTCTGCTTTGTAGCCATCAAACATGCTTTGTTTTTTCTTTATTAATTGGTCAGGAGGGAACTGTGCAATCTATGGATTCTTGGATCAACCACTTGCTTCACTTGAGCAGCTGAACCTGTCCCAGATAAACACAGGAGTACAGAGATCCGATGCTGCGCCCCGATATGCCGTCACCCACCCTGCCTCCAGATGTGCAGACGCTGGATGTCATTGCGCCAAATGTCATCATACCAAACCAGGAGACCACGTACTGGTGCTTCATACAGAAGCTGCCAGAAAACATGCCAAGAATCACATTGTTATGGTATGAATGCCTCTAAAAGTAGAAACACTTAACATGGAGTTTATGTACACACAGAGTGGGTGTTTTAGATGGAGATGGTGCACAAGGAGCTATTATTGCTCCTTGTTTACCAGCTGGGTCTAACAGCCAAGTTGTCATAGATAGAAAGAAGAAACACAAATCTAAGAAAACGTATGAACACAACAAACACATCACTTCCTTATTTATTGATCTATAAATAGATATGAATAAATGTGAGCAGATCCAGTACAAAAACCCACACAGTAGATTAAGCTATTGAAGCTACTGCACTGTATGTTACATATAATTAATTTTTAATTGATGTTTTTATTGACATACATGTCTAAGGGAGCCATATTGCCAGACCTTTTAGCAGTAAAAACACATAAGACAATGACTGTCTCTCCTTTCCACATCTTTCTTTTTCCACCTCTCTCTTTTCTGTCAGTATGAGTCAGTGATAACTCTAGGTAACGAGGCCATCGTGCATCACATAGAAGTGTTTGAATGTTCACCGGACATTCGCGATGTTCCAGAGTACAGCGGCTCCTGTGATGACAAGATGAAACCGGGCAAGCTCAACTTCTGCCGCCATGTGCTAGCCGCATGGGCTATGGGTGCTGAGGTATGATGGGAAACAAGACACCCACACACATCGTCTTACTTCTATCCCGATGAGCACCTTCTACTGTTTGTATTCACCCCCTGTTCCCTAAACCAACACTGAGCTGGAAGCATATCAACATGTACAAAAACGTTCAAGTCCTGACCCTAAAACTGACCCTTGAAGCTGTAACAATAACAATGCCATCATTTTGCAAAAGATTTAAGATTGAAACTGACAATCAAACATAACATCCAGATCTTCTATAACTAACAATAGAGGAGCACCCTCACAAACACCATCAGATAAAGCAGAATAAACACATGCATTGACAAGTTCTAAATACACATAACAGGTGTCTAATTGAAAAAGAGTTGGAACTCCTACGCGAGTGATATCCAAGCCTAAAACTAAGAAAATCCTGAACATACGATCCCACATGCAGCACAAGTCTATTAACAGCTCAGAGACAGTCTGTACGTGGGAAGCACACTCACATGCAAATACTTTCATTGAAAACCACATGCTAATGTACATTGGTAGCTTTGAAAAGGCAGAAAAGGTTTCATCTTGGCTGAAATTCTCATTCAACCATCTAATCTGCTAACTAGCGCATAAATATTGCAAAAATATAAAGGACAAAGAAATACAAATGTTTCTTTGTTCTTTAGGCTCTTAAATATATTATATTTAAAGTTCAACTACTTCAAATTATATTAATAGTAGTAACAAAAAATTACGACAAGTACTTTGAAATGGGTTGTTTGAAGTGCCGAAACTCCTCAGTTTCCCTCGGTTCTACATGTTTTAACCTCTTTTTGCTTATTGTTTAACATTTTCCCACCCACCAACTCCATTCTAATCAATGCCATTTCTAGCGAGTATTAGACTTAGATCATCAGGTGGTCAGTAGCGCAACTCTAAATGAATACTAATGTTAGTCCATGTGTACTATAGGCAACTGTTTGCTAACCTTATCATAATTATTCTACATACTTTTAGGTAAATAAAATAAAATCGAATAGAATGATTCAGTATGTTGTCACATTTTATTATCATGCAGTGAGATCCACCTCTTAGTTAACTGAAAAAAATCAAGTATGAAAAATCTAATAAGAATTAAAATATTTTAGAGGCTTTTTCTTGGAGTCTGGTTGAAATTCTCTGAGGGGCACTTATGAGTATTTGTAAAATCCTGACTACAGCCCCGACAGTCAGCTAGCACACTAGTCAGCCAGTAGTAAAAAAAAAAACACACAACAAAAACAAAACAATTGTTCATTCCATTAGTTGATTTTTGTTTAGCAAATGGAAACCCCAGCAACTACTGGAGTTGGAGTTTTCCAGATTTGAGATGGGGAACAAAATAATTTCACTTCTTTTTTAATGCAGAGGTCCTGAAAGGAGAACCACACCTGTTTCCTCAGCCAGCTAGTCAGTTAGTAATCTATCAGGCGTTAAATCACCCCACTTATGTACTATGGCTACCAACCAGCCGGCTGACCAAGCAAGCAAGCAGCCTGCTAGTCACATAAAGCAAAGCGGACAGGGAACGGTGAGCCTGTCACCATATTTCTCAGCTCTGCTCCCCACTGTATCACGGCCAGCCTGGCCCCTCTCTGATTGGATTATCTGCCAGCCAAACGAAAACAAGCAGGATGCCTTCTCTGAGCTGTGAGCTGTGAAGACAAGATTAGGTGGGAAATATTCAGGCCTCTTTCATCACCTCTTAATAGTGTTGTTTCATTCTCCCCGGCATCGCATCAGAAGGGAAACGTGGCCGTGCAAACACACAAAACAAGAGAGAAAGCGGAAAATGGAGTGGGGGAAGTTTGGTTGAGGAGAGAAACAATAATGTTTGACACAAAGGACAGCACCAGAGAAAAAGAAATGTGTGCGTGTGTGTAGGGAAGAAAGTAAGCCTCTAAGGATTTTACTTTTACGATATGATTAAATAAGACAATTCTTTCTTCCATTACAAACTGTATCAGCAGATGTAGCTTAAGGTGGACCTCCCTGAAATAGGTGAGGACACTGATGAATTGATTAAATCAAGATTCCTTGGTGATAGCGTGGAGATTTGATGCCCATGGCGCCAGCAGTGACTCAAAAATATATTCCTGCTACAATAAACAGAACAGTTCAGAATCCAAGAAGTGAAAGAGGAAGACTTAAGGCCCGGCTCAGAGACCATAGCTAATGTGGGGAAACACATGTGAGGGATTAACTTAAAGAAAGGAATTTTATTGAACAAAAGTAATTTAGACAAACAAATGTAACAAAAATGTTGATTCTAACAAATGCAGCTGGCAAAGACACGAGATTAACTACAACAATGCAAAATAAACACACCAACACAAGAACACACACACATTAGCCCCGGCAGAGGCCCTACCACATTATTAAAAATTCCATAACTATTTAATGTTTTATATTAATGCATCAATATTTAATGTAAGCTCACAATACAAAGCCACTTTAATCCTTGTTCACATTTCCTTTCACCTTGTGGCCTCACATTCCATCTCAGCAACTGGTAACTTGAAGCAATTTAAGAGAGACAGAGATATCAAATTTGAAGAAACACTTATCAGTATCTTAACAGTTACTTGCATTGGGATCTGGATAACACATCTGCATGACGTATGTCTAAAGAGTAGGACTGGAGAAAAAGAAAAAAGACCACCTTACAAGAAAATATACCTCACAAGTTCAACCAGCATCCCTGGGGGCCCGCCCATCCATATGAGAATACAACCTTTCTCGGTGTATAAATAATCAATAAACATTTTTTGAGCCAGATCATTGATTCCCAAAAGGCCTCAAAGACATTTAAAGGCTCCAAACAAGGAACATAGCTGATGCAAAGATTGAAATGATTTAAATTTACGTGCTGATGCTCAGTTTTCTGAATTATAATCTGTTTAAAAACAATATTCAGTATTAATAATCTAATATCTAATATAATATTCTTACAGTCTGTTGCTGTTGATGTGTATGGTTGGGAGTTTGTGAGTAGGCATACCTTTATTTTTAGAGGTCATTATCAGAAAATGGTAGAGAACAACACTAGAGCTAGAGAAAGCTACCTGTTATCTCTGTAGGATGGGCAAGAAGATGTAATGACACAATTGCGATTCCTTAGATAAACCACTTTGACAGGAGAGCACATCTTAAGTAGGATTTTAAGACACCTTACGGTGGGTGAAATTAAACTTTCTCAGAAGTTTGACAAACACCTGTCACATGCATGTCCTTCAAAGCTTAATTGGCACACACTTGCACAGGAATATACATCTGTGTGACTTCTTTTTGTTATCTTCTAACAATGCCTGCTTTGTCCAGAATGAGCAACGATGCTAAGACAAAGGCGTGTGATTATAATTTTGTTTAACCTCCACAAGTGGCCATGTTTAGACAAAATCTTTCTGACTCTCACATGTAATACTTATAATTGCGAAGATATCAAACCTACAGTTTCTGTAAAAAAATAAAAACAGGAATAAAATGCAGCTGTATTGTGACTTTTAATACATTTTTATTCAACGGCTCTAAATCATCTGGACGATACGTGAAGAAGAGTCTTTGCTACAAATTTAAAGTAGCTGTGCATAATGAATAATGTCTGTGTGTTTGCTCGCAGGCTTTTTACTATCCTCCCGATGCAGGGCTGCCTATGGGTGGACCAGGTTCCTCTAGGTTCCTTCGTCTGGAGGTCCATTACCACAACCCTCTCCTTATATCTGGTACACACAGTGCACACGTAAACACATAACCCTAGCAAAATACTGTTACACGTGCCCTATGTCTTTTTCTTTCTCTTGAAACACACACACACCAGCACCAGGATTCTCCACATCTCCCAGATGAGCGCCGGCCTTATCTTCAACAGAGCGATTCATTTAAAATTTTCCAGATATACCTTTTGATCTCGCCTGCACGAGTCACTACAGACTTTGCCTTCCTTATCCTGATCTGACCTCACAATACGCATACATCCTACATAACCATCTTCTAATTCTCCACATATCTTTTTTGTTTTGTTTTGAAGTTGTCTGTTACGGCTCATCATCTCTCGTCTCCCTTCAATCTGTCTTGCAGTTCAAAAGAGATAGAGCAAACAACACCAATAATCGAGCCATAGCAACAGTGCTGTGCTCAGTGATCCTGATTGAACTGTTTAGTTTAAGTATGTATGGAGCACTTTATGCATTTTAGGGTTGACAACAGAGAAATAATAGCATATGAGGGAACAGAGAGAAAAGGGGTGGCATGCAACAAAACCCCCTAGCAGGAGTTAAACTGAAGAATTAAACCACATGATTTGAATTTCTAATCTCAGTAGTATCACCAGAACAGCTCATAACATCTTAGGAATATTGCCAGACCGGGGTGGGGTCTGGGTTTTTTTTTTCTCCAGCAAGCTTTGTCCTTGGTAGGCTTAACAGTCCAGATAAACGCCAGGTGAATCAAAATGCTGCAGCATGTTTGTTTACCAGGCAAAGATAGAGAGCACACATTACACCCATTAAATTCTTTTGTGACATTATAATTTCTCTGCTGATTTTTCTATTGTATTGTTTTATTCACAATCTTATATTTGTTGCTCTAGAGGCAGTAACTAGTTACATGTTATATAGTTACTGTAATCTGTTACAGTTCCAGAAAATGCTCATGATTTCATTCATTACATCTGAAAATTTTCTGTAAAATGCTAGTCTATATGTTGAATAATATTAATTTTGTTTTTCATGCAATGTCTTCCTTTGATATTTCCAGCCACAGCCCTTTAGTTAAGTTTGCTATTGTGATGCTTTTGATTGGTTCTCATTTTTGAGTTTGTAGCCCCGCCCGTCTGCTATTTAAATTGCCTCTCAAGCAGTCTTTTGAAAATGGTTAACGGTTGAAAACATTTAATAGAAATCAAAAAGCAATTAAATGTAAAAAGTTACATTACTTTGATAAAGTTATTGAATTGATTACATTTTAAATAGGGTAACTTGTTACCTATTACATTTCCAATACAAGTAACCTTCCCAACACTGTCTATAGGTGAACAGCACCTTGCAGTAAATATATTTCTCATACATTCATACATACTTCATAGCCTGGTTTAGTGCAAAATTATTCTGTATTTTAATATGATACTAGTAAAGTGACGGCATGATATATTATAACATTCCACGATAATTCTCACGCAGGCCGTCGTGACTCATCAGGGATAAGGTTGCATTACACCCCTAGTCTGAGGCGGTACGATGCAGGGATCATGGAGCTGGGCCTTGTTTATACTCCTGTCATGGCTATCCCACCCAAACAACACACCTTCTACCTCAATGGATATTGCACCTCTAAGTGTACCCGGACTGTATGTATACACACAAATATATTAAAACATGTTTCTTCAAGTTTTGAATCTTAAAGCATAAAAATCACTTTTTTGGAGCTTGACCCTAAAAGTCTGTTTCTCTGTCTGTCTGCCTGTTTTATCTAGGCTTTGCCTCCAGGAGGAATCTATATATTTGCGTCCCAGCTGCACACCCACCTGGCGGGGCGTGGGGTCAGGACAGTTTTGGTGAGGGGAGGCAAAGAGCTGGAGGTGGTTCAGGAGGACCAGCACTTCAGCACCCACTACCAGGTGAGCAACAGCAGGATTTACCCAGAGGAACTCCTTTGTGCTTATATTGTATTAGATGGGATAAAAGTTAGTCTTACTTTACACGGAGCTGTGTGCGACTGGGACAAAGATTATCCTGAATCTGAAGTCTGAAGCTAGCTGTTTCTACTGACTGCTTCTACAACGTCCTTTAAAATAAAAACCTGCTATCTCATTACAATCAAGTCTTGGATTGTGTCTCTGATTTTGCAGTCAGTGACCCATATATTCATATTTATATATACATTTATAACAAGCTGAAAATTACAATCACATACTTCATGATCTGTTGTGTACTTGTTGAAGAGGAGTTTCTAATTATTTGTGTTTAAATGAAAATAATGTCCATGTGATCTTTTAAAAAATGGGTAAAGGGAGTGGCATTGTACAGCCCAACCTCACCACCTTAGTAAAGCCAGGCCAGACAGCGTCCGGACGATGTCTTGCATCGCTGACAGGACCCACCAGTGCTCCTTCCAGAGCTCCTTCCAGAGCTCCGCCTCTACCAACAACACGGCGCTGATCGCCTCCTCCTCCGCCAATCTAGCGGCTAACTCCACCACCATGACAGAAGAGGAAAAAGTTGTTCATGTTCATGAGTCAAGTTCAATGAGTTCAAGTTGGTTGAACCTGGCTGCAATCTTAAAACCGCGCTGCTGCCCCTTTACAGTGGTTATATTATGCTCATTTTCAGGTTCAAAATCTTAGTTAGGGGTTGTACCACAACAGGTGTACATGGTTTCATTTTCAAAAAACACCATATTTTTTGTCATACTGCACATTGCGGCAGCTCCTCTTTTCACCCTGTGTGTTGAACGCTCCGTTTGAACTACGGAGTGAAGCGTCTCTCTTCTACAAGATCTTTGTTGGGAGTTGCACATGCGCAGTACCTAGTTAAGGACTACTAGCCAATCAGAAGCAGAGTAGGACGGTCCCGAAAAGCTGGCAAACACGGCTTGGGTTCAGTCGTACATGTTGTCAGCAAGGGGTAAGCCAGAGATCGGACAGTGAAGCCGACCAAAACCTTCATGGTAGTGATGTGCGATACCACTTAATTCCTATCCGATCCAATACCAAGTAATACCCAGGCTGGTATTGCCGATACCGATACCAATACTTTTTACATATTTTATTTTTAGTTTAATGTGACCTCCCCCCTCCCGTTTCTGTATTTATGAGAGAAATAAGGAGTAGGGGCTGTAGCCCTACCAATTCAGAATAATAGCTGCATAATGACAAGACATCAAACTACTGTCATATTCTTTAATTATAGCCTAATAAAAATATCCTGCTCAGAACTGCTGCTTCATAACATCATCCTATTATTTTGACTTAATTCCAGATGTTTAGATGTTTAGACCATCCTGGTGACTGTAAGATACTTTTAATAAAACACTTTTAATAAAACACTGTATGGAGGGATCCATGTAGGCCCAAAAATGACGTCAAAACCCTGTGAAACCCCATCGCACATGAGAGATGTAACCGTATTGCTTAGATTATAAACTCTCGGAGAAAAAAGAAAACAACTATACGCTGCGTTGGTGTTTGGCAGGTGAACCTTGTAGGTAGGCTGATTAAACAGTGACGATCCGAGTCAGACAAGCACACTGAGCCGTGAAACTTTTTTGGCGCAGCTATGCAGCTACCAAACTTGTTTCTGCCGTTGTTCTAAGTCATTAAACCACGGTTATGCTGCGCGATCATGTGCAGTAGACGCTGGTGCCAACAGGTAGCCCTCTAGTAGTATTTTACTGGTCCAAAACTGGCTTCACTGCTCTCCATTTAAATCAGCGGGGTGGCTTTGTCCAATAATAAACTGTCTATGGTTGTCAGTGCCAAATCCGACCATACACGAACACACACACAATACTTGCCTAACCGTAACTCTAACCTTAACTGCACAAAACAATCAGCCTTTCCCCAATTAACTGCCCCCTCCCAACCACCCCCACCACACACACACACACACACACACACACACACACATACACACAGAACAGAGAAGGACATCTGCTAGACTGCTTGATAAACATTTCCAGCTGCTGTTGATGTCAGACTCATCTGAGTGTACCTGTGTGACGGTGTTGTTTCCAACCCTGAAGCCTAATTAGGCACATGAAGACTTTATCAAACCATTCTCAGCAAAGCTAATAGATCTTTTCACACACACAGCTAATAAGTATGAAAGCTGCCTCCAAGACAAGCATAAAGAAAAGCAACCAGTGTTTAATCTCTCTGTGTTTGAAATAAATCCACCGTACAGATGGAGGGAAATGCATTGGGAAAATATATATCCAATGGTAAAATGGAATTCTATTGAGACTTTTGAGGAACTTAAAGAAACCACTGTTCTGTTCACTCCACTAAGATCATTGTCAGTGTTTGTGTTACATACTTATTTCTAGTCATTTCATGTTTTCATGTCCTGATAGAAGAATACCCGAATCCAAAAAATTAATGCTGGGTGGATTTTCACTTTAATTTACTCAATCTCTTTTTGTCTTCTGTCTCATAGACGATTCGAGTTCTACGGAAAATGGCCAATGTTTTACCCGTAAGTATAAAGTCGATCACAATAACTGCATTTAAAATAACCAAAGGCATTTCCTTCGAGTTAAGTCTGTTATTATTCCTGGCAATTTTAATATCACTATATATCGTATACTGTATATTATAATGTTTTATTGCTGTACGTTTACTGTGTGAGTAGTGTCTTGTTGTTGTATTTAACCTGTGAAGCACCTTGGCCAACCTTGGTTGTTTTAAGTGTGCTATATAAATAAAATTGATATTGATAGATAGAGAAGAACAGAACTTTTACTGTTCTGCAAGCTCAGCCAACTACTTCAGGATTGTAGTGCTCCAGATGCCTGCCTGCCTGCCTGCCTGCCTGCACCCCCCCACACACTGCATTTAAAGTACTGAATTAAAATACTGATGCAGCAAAAGGTGTGTAAAGTGTAAATATATACAGGCTGTAAGCGTTGTGATAGGAAGTTCTTGGGAGACGAACAAGACAAAACCGCAGCAGCTGAGCTCAAAGCAGAATTCTATTTAAGACAGCCAGTTGTTGGCTGTCTTAAATAACAAGGCTTCTGTCCATACCGGTAATAGTATATTATTTTCAGTGGTCTTATGTTAATCTTGAGATATGTTGAAGTGCTGGTGTGTTTGTGCTTGATCCTGCAGGGCGACGTCCTCATAACAAAGTGTACTTATAACACAGAAGACAGGAGCAAGCCTACAGTGGTGAGCAGCACACTATAAATATACAGGACTATTTTTATATTGTAAAAGTTCACCTTCAGCACTGTCAACAACCACTGAATAACCTTGAGCACTTCTGTCTCTAATCTCTCCCCTGCCTCCATCTCACTCCTTCAAACTCACCATATTCCCTTCATCCTCGTAATCCTTCCATCTCTACCCCTTAATACCTACACCTGCTTTGTTTATATATATATATATATATATATATATATATATATGCTTCCCCATCCTCATCTGTTTGTCTCCTCAGGGAGGTTTTGGCATCATGGAGGAAATGTGTGTTAACTACATTCACTACTACCCTCGAACTAAGCTGGAGCTGTGCAAGAGCCATGTTGACCCAGGATACCTGCAGAAATACTTCAACTTCATTAACAGGTAGCACACGCACAAATCATTTCTCTCCCCCAAAAATCATTTGCTTGTTTCCCTTGTCCTTCACTCTCTATTTTTCATTTTGCATCTTCCCCCCCATCTCCTGTGTGACTAAGCAATTTTTGGTTTCAGCATTCATCCCTTCCCCCACCATCCTCCGCTCCCGGGAAACCAGAGTGATTACTTCTTTTAATCTCGAAAACCAGATGCTTTGTCCTTTAAAGTGAAACTGTGTTCTCCTAATGCCAATTCTGACTGCTTCTTTTTTCCAATTTCTTCCTCCTTTCTCAATCTCACTCTACCTCCCTCTTTTATCGACTTTCCTTCAACCCCTCTCTCTTTCTCTCCTCCCTCCAGGTTCCACGGAAATGACCACTGTGTGTGTGGAGAGGTTAGTGTGACGGAGCAGTATTCTCAGCTACAGTGGGACGCATTCACTGGAGAAGTGCTGGACTCCCTTTATAATACAGCACCCATCTCCATGCACTGCAATCAGTCGACTGCACGCCTCTTTCCTGTAAGTCCCCAATCGCACACACCCATGCTACAATCCACTGCCACCAAGCCCCCAGTTCAAAACGCAGACATTTGTTAGATGAACAGACAGCTTGTTAACTTGTAATATAAACAAACACACACACAATGTTTGGATCAGCAGCAATAAATCAATTAAAGCTCAAAACTGTGTAGAGGTTGTTTGTCAGAAAAAGCTTTCCCCTTGATGTGTGACTTCAGTTGTGCATGTGCAAACCAGGACGAATACAAGGCAAAGGCTTGTGAAGTTAAATAAAGACAATTTAAAGCTGAAATCACCAAGTGAAAGCCACAGCCTCAGACTCTCCTACTGCCCATAAGTGACCAGCATTTTACCCTCTCAACCTCACCCAACTGCAACATCTGACATACACAACATACAGCGCAGTCATTTTAGATTTCTTAGTTATTGCTGACATTTAAATTTAGCTGTGGACACACACAGGTACACCAGTTTTACCTTTTCCTGCCATCACTTGACAGAGTCCCGTCTTCCACTGCTTGGAGGGCCTAATGATGAACACCTGTTTTCCCTTTCTCCCTTTCTGAGAATGAGGAAATGATCAGCAGCGACATTACAAGCAGAAATAAATTGACAGACTGGCAACTGGCAAAACACTAAACTGGAAGGATGAATTTCACACAAAAACACTGCTACTGTAACGTTTGAGAACTGGACCTTGAGAAAAGGGAATAAAGCTGCCTTTTTACAGTCTTAAAGCTGTCCCATAAAAAAATACACAAAAAATTGCCCTCTCAAGTGTAGTTTTTGAAGACGTACCGTGTTTGATACATTGTGTAATGTCAACTATGTGCAGTTACCTAATAAAAACTGCTGTCTAAATATCAAGGACACTACCTTTTGTTTTTTTTGTTTTTTACCAAACAACCCATCTCCAACATCATATATCTGTTTTTCCAGGGAGAGTGGGACAAACAGCCTATACCAGTGGTTAACTCCATCCTTGAAAAACCTCGCTACCCCTGTGAGGGAGGAGCACTTCCCACCAGCCGACCCTTCACCCCCCCAGTCTGAGTGAGGGGGCATCAGGGCACACTTCAGCCCAAAGAGACTACTCCTACTCCTACTAACTACTCCTTCAACATTTATTTTGTTGCATTTTGTTCCCCATGATTGTGATAATGACTAACAAGCACCATTATGACATGAAACATTATTATGCTATATGGGGAATCATTTCATTCTGTAGTAAACTGTTTCATAATCACCGGCTTGAGTGGTAATAACAGTCCATCACTTTTTATAGTATTACACTTGTAATTTTCACCCTGTTTTGCGACATGCCCGTGGGTTCTTGCATTATTTGTATGTGTTAAATAATAAATGTCACAAAAACGTTGGCAGTTAAAGAGGGAATTTATTAATACACAAATTGTTTTGGACAGAATAAATGAATCATATCTTTCCATTGGTCATTTCTGCTCTTTAAACTGGTCAAAAAATTATCTTAAGACAATAATAACAACAAGGATAACAATTTTAAGAACTGTATTTAATAGCTCAGCATTGAAAATGTTACACTTTTAGCATTTAAGAATTAACTTTACCTGCTTTTCATCATAGAGGCATTTGCAATATTCACATCACAATATCGGAAGGAAGAGGAATTGTATAAACTGAATTAGAAAATACCTGTGGACATATTGTGGTAGGGTACCAGTAGTGACAGTGTTTTATCTGTCCGTTTCACATTTCCCATATAAATCTTGCTATTAACCTAAGCTTCTACTGTGAACAACCATTTCAATGATTAATGGCCTCCTGGGCAAATCAATGAATCACTCCACATTAGTAAACATTTTGTGCTGAACGTGCAGCAAAACTGAGGGGTAAATAGTAGCTGTACATACAAATGCCTTCTTCTGCTTTGACACACTTTTTTGGCTGCTGTTCACAAAGCGCATGTGATGAACTTTGGTTTTTGTTTGGCCTAAACTGTGCTTGTGTGGAAAATATAATGAATAATAGGTGTTTTATCTTTGTTACTACATTTCACATCCACATACCTGCACCTGCATTAAAAGACATGAATCAGTTATTAAGGTGCTTAACTAGTGATTTCTCTTCTTGTTTTTTTAATCACAGTTTTCCCTGTTAAAACTGAAAGCATAGTAAGACATTTCCATTCCAGCAACCATGAATTGTCGACAAAAAAAGTTTTTATACACACACACACACACACACACACACACACACTTGATTCAGGGTCATTTACATATTAATCACACAAGTCCTACACTAAAGTCCAGTTATTCTCACTGTACTAACTTCATGTTTTGAATTTTAAGTACTAATTAGTAATTAAAGGGACTAAGACGGTTTTAAATATGCTGCTGATGCTTCACAGAAAAAGTACTCAAGAAGCGAGTATGCCCCATGAACTGCTGGGAGGGCTTGAACGTGAAGCAGATGCACAATGTGTTGAGTTTGATTTAACAGCAAAACAAGACAAAATGAGAACTCCTAAGGATGCCTGAATTGATAGATAGCCATATTAAATCATAATGTATTTATTACAAAAAAACAGAGAACTGAGTTTGCCGATAGCAGCAACAGAAGTTTATCACCGCAGAGCAAAGCAACCAGGGGACAGATCAGAAAACAAAGCATTGCTGTAACAGCTGCTTTCTGATAACTCTTGTCTTTTTCTGTCATTTTTCTCCAGCAGTGTTATGTCCCCAGCTGGTGCACTGTGCCTCAGGGTGTTTTTTCTCCCTTTCCCTGCAACTCTGATAAACACTCAGGATGTCTGCCTAAGATTTAGATACCATACAAGCGAGTAAAACTCTGTTTTTAGACATTATCATCATCAGTACAAACATCAGTCACTGTAATCTGAGTCAAACTGCCTGAAGGGCTAGTAGTTTGATAATACTTCCATTCCCTGATACAGTACTCCATGGCCAAAAAATCATACATGCAACCTTGCCACTTGAAATGTCCAGTGACATTAAGTAGTTACAGATTAAGGCACTATTCTGAATTAGCCTGTATGAATGTTGATGGACACAAAGATTGTTCGGTTTAGTTCCTATTTCTAAAATTAAAAATGGATCATGTGCTGCTATTTGAGTCCTTAAGATAAATCCATGATCAAAAATTAATTTTTACATTCAGTTGACCCAGTTGTACGGGTAAAAAAAAAAATTTGATTAGTGGAGATAACACACTCTTGAATTTGTCTTCATATTGAACGCTGTTGCTCAAACCCAGAGCAGGTATAAAAACAACATTCAATCAACATTTGACATTTATTAAACACTAAAACAGCTGCACCTGCATGTAAAAAAAAAAAACTGTTGCACCTCTCTCAGCCTCATTCTCCAACCAAGAGTGTTATTGCTCAGGTTTTTTACATTTGCAGTACTTCTCAAGCATAGATGCCCTTGACACGTTTATTCTCAGGGTCAAACGGAGATTTGAGGTGGGCCTTGGCCTTGTACGTCACTCCCATCCTCTCCAGGGTAAACTTGCCGCTCTGTATGAAATCAGCACTCACCTGGTAAAGACAGGAAGAGAGAGCGAGAGAGATGGGGTGAAAATGAGAGGCAAGGAAACAAAAAAAAAAGACAGAGGGAGATGAGCAAGGAAAGGAGAGAGTGGTGGAAATTTAAATTTTGGTAGATGAGGAGGACCATGGAGATTAAAAGTGAGAGTGAAAATGAGGTGGCCAATTAATCCAAACTCTTTGCAAAAACTCAACTGGCACAGCACTCCAGAACGGACAATTTCACGGCGTTCATATCTGACAGAAGAGAACGGCGCAAGAGTTATAAAACGCTGAAAGCAATTCATTCACTCATGAGTCAATGTCAGCTCCCTCGTAACCAAGAGAGCTAATTTTGACTCCCTTTCCCCCTTGCAGTTCTCCCACTGATCTGTCAATCTGTCTCTCACACACACACACACACCTCTCATCGCCACTTAGATGGAGCAGTATTGTGGTCAAAGGCTCTATTTAACTGATAACCTTATTCAAGAACAAAGCCGCTTTCGCTCCAGCTTAAAACGTCAGCAGCCATTTGACATTGGTTGATGCCCTTACCTGAGTTTGAATGGGCAAGTATTACACACACTCCAATGAACTGAGACCGAAGGCCAGGTACATCGACCAGCCAACGGATCCATAATGTACCTGTATTTGGCCATATTCAGTGCTCCCTTACAATCCTCTAAGTCCCCGAACCAACCCTGCAGCCTGTTGCCAATATCACTGTATTCTATGAAGATACATACAGTACATGATCCCAGGTTTCTGAGGGGAAATTAAGTTCATTCTATAACTAAATACAAACTTTTTTTGTCATTTGTTCCTATTACAACACAAAATGAAATATAAGTGTGCTTATTAATTTCAATTAAAAGAAATCAGTTACAATTCATTAACAGCACCTACTGCAGACATTTATCGCAAAGGTGCCTTCCTGCAAGTAGGCGCTTCATGATTTCCAAAGCACAATTCAACTTGTTAAGGGTTATGCAGTACAGACTTAGCATTGACATATTCTCGTGTAGGTCTTCTTAGGAAAGAAGACACTTAAAACACACACACACACACACACACACCCCCCTGCAGAAGCCAGTGGTGTGATTGTAGGGGAAGTGATGTGTAATGCTAAGTGACAGGAGATTAGATACCAAAGACTTGTGTGTGCACATGAATGCACGTGTGTGTGTGTCTCTGTCTTTGTGCACTTGTCCACACAGTGAATTTCCAAACTAAAGTGCTCGACAAAGCTAACGGTCAATCCGCTTTGTTTCCCTGGTTACAACTCGGGGATGGATATTAAACAAATGAGCACACAGAAACACAAAGGCAGACATGTTATCACACACACACATGCACGCACAGCATGTGAGTCTACTGAGCACACACTCATATATCTAAATATATCTAAATACTCTGACAAATCACAGAAGGATTGTTCTATTTTTCAGAATCTAAAACACAGTCTTTGCTTTGGAGCCAACCACTTCAACCAATAATAATAACGATAACGACTCTCTTGCCTCCTCCTTCTTCTTATCTGATGTTCCATCTGTTACCATCTGGACCTGACAGCTGAAAATACCTGAAGTACGCTCACATTTACACCACATAAATACAGTACTTTTCTGGTTAAGTGTATGTGCTCATTCCAAGCATTAGGGAAATTATATAGCCAAATAATATTAAATATCAATAACAATAATAGTATTATCATATACCATTATAATATGATCATATACTATTATAATAATATTTACAAATTATCTATTATTGAGTCCTCAAGTCATTAAAAAAGAAAACTGAATTAACACTTGTCTGATCATTTCACCTTAATTTTGTAGAATAAAGTTATTTTCTTGGTGCTAGTGAAGCAATCTGTCCTTTTTCAGTCTTCTTGTCAAGATTTTATTGCACATTGCTAATCAATACACAGAACAATTGTAGACAAGTGGGATCTCACCTCACTGTAAAAAGATTTTCTTTAAAAAATTAGGCAGAATATGAGACCACAAAAGACAACAGCCCAGGAAACAAAACAAAGGTATGAAAGAATTAAAGACATTACTGATAAGACACAGTGTGCGAGTATATGTGTAAGTGTTGTGTGTCTAATGTCTTTACCACTCCCCCATCAGGGCTGCGGATATATCCATAGCCAATAGTTTTGTCGATAAAGAAGCCATAGTCAGAACGCCGCAGGTGACCAACGGGAACGCCGTTACGGAAAATGGCCTCCAGACCGAACATCGGTACTTTCCTGATAGAGATAGAGAGAGAGACAGACAAACACATACACACTAATCATGGATGTTGGGCCCAAACAGAATATGCCAACTTTGACAATGTCTCTTTCACACAAAAAAGTAATGTTTTTATGATAGCAAACTGTTGGGTGCTTGCATCTCCGGAGCAGACATTTGACATTGCATCTTACAATCTAAATTAAGTCAAATATTTTGAATGTTTTGTGTTTTTCAGACAAAAGTCTACAAGAAAAAGTCATAAATGTATCCAAAGTTTCAGTTTGGGCCTGTATTTGCCAAAGAAAATGGAAATCTTGGGAATCTAAGACGTTAAAGTGGCTTCAATACATGAAGCTTTATTTGAGAATTATTTTTTGTCTTCTAAAATTTCCCACTATGTGAAAAATTTCTGATATTGTAAAGAAACTTTGTCCAGTTCATGAATTTCTTTCTGACTAGCTTGTAATGTCAGGCTTTACATACTCATCAATGGTGAAGCAGATGATGCGCCTCCTCAGCCCCTCCTCTTTCTGTTTCTCCAGCCTATCACGGCCCTGGAACGGGATGGAACTCTTCAGTTTGCAGGTGAAGGCTAGCCCCGCCTCCAGAGGTGTGTCATCTGGGCGAAGGTCAGCGTGCCAATGTCTGTACCCTGATAAAGAGAGGGAGAGAAAGAGCTGAGACATAAAATATGAGAAGCAACATAAGATGGGGATTTGAGCAAAAAAAGTCAATCAGTCTAATCAATATTTATGTTATCAACAATGGAAAAAATGTAACGTGAGAGGTGGCTCTTGTGGTAACACACCACAGGGTTATTTTACTGGCTGGATTTGTTATGGATATGATTACATTATTCATGACGTCTTATTGGAAGTTACCTTTCTCTATGCTGAGTGAGTCGATGGCCCTGTAGCCGGAGTTGGTGATGCCGTGCTTTGCACCAGCAGCCATGACAGCATGGTAGACTGGAAGGCAAGAGTCTTTGGGAATGTGCAGCTCCCAGCCGAGCTCTCCGACAAATGACAGACGCATAGCTCGCACCTGGATAAGAGAGGGGAAGAGAGGAGGCTTAGAGAGATGAAGAGAGGCATGTAGAGGACCAAGCTGCCATGCCTCTGCTTGTGTGTGTCTGTGTGTGTCTGTGTGTGTGTGTGAGTGAGAGAGACCAGCAGAACAAAATAGAATAGAGTAGATTCAAGGATAAGTACATAAAGAGAGAAACAGGGGAAATATAATCTCCCTTTAGAAATGAATGTTGTGTCCAAAATGCCTGAAAGACATTACATACATAACATATTTGGGGGTTAAGAGAATAGGTCAACAGTGCAGAGAAGTTGGCAGAGATGGGGCCTGAAAGAAATTAAATGAATGACTCTGAAAATTGAGGCACTGAAGGTAGAAAAGGAAACACTACAAATATTTATCAACCTGGCTGTTATTCTCATAATTCCATCCATTGTGAGTATTTGTCATTTTACTCAACACCTCCATTGTAGAGATTTTTTTTAAAAATGCAGTAAGAACGGTGTTGAATGGGGTGAGCCTCCTACAGCCACCGCAAGAAAATTAAATTTAACAGATATCATCTCAAAAAACGTCTTTCCAACTGCAAGTAAACACAGAAAGTAGTCCGCTGTAAATCACTGTGGCTGCTGTGGTAAACTGCTCAGCAGCTGTGGAACAATTACATGCAACTAGAATCTGTTTATCTTTAGTGGCAATCCATGAAAAGTGCGCAGTGTGGATGCTGTCATTCCATTTTTGAAATTCGGAGACTTGCAGGCACAATAATTTGGCAGACAGGTCAGCTATGCAGTCTGCAAGAAGATTTACAAGCATTTGCAGGGGACTACTTTTTGTTTTTTATTTCACTCACTAACAAAACCATGCCAATAAAGATGCGTATTTGGAATATTATATTGTATATTATGGATGGAGGAGAGCCGAGATGATGTAGGCGGAATGGAGTAAGGGTCCAGATGGAGGGATAAGGGATGCAAGGATGATTTGATTACTGAGTTTAGATTTTTCATGTATCTGCCAGGATATAATAGTCACAATAGATACAATATGAGAATAACACCCAGATTGACAAATACCAGAATGGCTTGGATGCAAAAAATATAAGACTGACAGCATAAGAGAAAAGGAAAGTAAGAGAGTGAGAAAATGTGTAAGGGAGTGAAAAAATAGGAGAGAAAACTCTCTCCAACAGTTTCCCCAGTGGGTGCTGTGACAGCCAGGCCATCTGGCCAGCCAGGGATCACCCTGGGCCCCATATGTACACCATGAAACTCTGGGGAGGGAAGTACATGTAGGCCTGCGCTTATTCACAACACACACACACTCCACCAGATACACAGGCGACACACTTAAACACACAGAAACACATGCATGCCTCATGCACACTGTCACTCATACATTTATCAGGCATACATCAAACACAGACACACATAGCACAGACAGACACAAGTACAAAAAATGCTCATAACACCTATCACGCATGCCAGCACACTCGCTTGAACTGGCAAGTTGGGGAGAGAGAGAGAGAGAGAGAGAGAGAGAGAGAGAGAGAGAGAGAGAGAGAGAGAGAGAGAGAGAGAGAGAGAGAGAGAGAGAGAGAGAGAGAGAGAGAGAGAGAGAGAGAGAGAGAGTCTAATGAGCTATGAGGGGAGCAGAGGGCAGAGGGAGCGCTCTGTTCTCACAGCAGTGCAGCCATTAAAATGTCACCCAGACGAAGCCGGCAACCAGCTGGAACACAGCACAAGCAACACGCGCACACATGCACAAACACTTCTGCAGAGCTGTGAGAAGATGCTGACTGCAATCACTGGAGCGTTGCATAATTCACGCAAGAGCAACTAAGACAGAGCGAGTGTGCATGGACATATGTCTCGCAGCATGTGGCAGTTGGTCTGAGGCCAGGAACAGTGTAGAGGTCAACCTGAGAGGCTGGAGTCACATTCCCTTACAGCATTATTGTGAGAAAATGGAAAGGAAAATACAGCAAAGTATAATTATACAATTTCCCCAGTGCTTGAAAACAACAGCGCTATAAACTTTGTTTTGAGTTTTTGACTTCAGGCGAAGATGTAGAAAGAGATAGAAGGCGGAAAGAAGGTAGAGAAAAACAAAACATGTGGACAGACTTTACTTCTAAGTAAGTCACAAGGACGACTTAAAACCTGCCATCTGTCTCACACACACACACACACACAGTCTATAATCTCTGCTGACTGAGTCTTTGAAATAAGACACCCGTTTCATTCAACAGCATGTGATTTGCATAGAATTTTGTTAGTTTTTTTTAATTACCGGCATTTAGCTAGTACTGCTAGTACTAAAGCTAGGGTTATTTTGAAGTTGCTAAATGTACTATATACAATAAATGTAGAAATGAGTTGAGGCACTGAGTGTGTGTTCTCACCTGATGCCCTGCTGCGTTGACAACTTTGTGGGTAGAGAATGGGAAAGCTTCGTTGCTCAGGTCTGTGTCCAACACTTCCTGAAGAACCTCTCGACTGCACATAAAGAGAAAACACAGGAACGTTATGAACAGCAGTAGTAGTAACAAAATATTTTGCGTTTACACCCGTGCAACTGGTGTGGTGACAGATGCTTATCTGTATCCTTTGCAATAATCAAATCAGACTTTTTAAAAAATATTTCAAGAAAACATTACTACAAAACTACAGCAGCACCTCTTATATTTGCTGTAGAAATGTACCATGTCTCCTTCTTCCACAAACACAAACACACACAAATCAATATTACATAAAGATGAGTCAACAGAAAAAAAAAGGACTAAGTTTAGCTTACTTTGCTACTTGTGTGTGTGTGAGTGGGCAGGTAGAGGCCTTTTCTAAAGGATATTTTTGCAACAGTGTGGCAGGAAGCTACGGTTGAAGGTATTTGGGGAAGGGTTCAAGTTACGCTTTGTGTGCTGTACATGTTTGAGCATCTGTGTGGGTTATTGACGTGGTAATGACTTGATGTGGAAGTTTGTGTGAACAGGGTGAGCGGTTATGGTCATCATAATGCAAATAAAATATTTCTTGTACACAGTACATGCATGATTGCAGGCATGTATGTCATGTATGTGCTGGTATGATGCACACGCTTATATTTCCTTCAAGCTGTCGTCCGATTTCTGTTTTCTCTTAAGCAATGCTTTGTTCACTGAACTCAAGAGCCTAAGAGCAATGCCAATTAGCTATTTATAATCAGTGAATGGCTCTGTTTGTGTGTGTGTGTGTGTGTGTGTGTGTGTGTGTGTGTGTGTGTGTGTGTGTGTGTGTGTGTGTGTGTGTGTGTGTGAGGGAGTCTAGCAACCACCAATTTGTTCCTCTGACTTGCCACTTAACACACACACACACACACACACACACACACACACACACACACACCCCTATCTCACAGAGGTGGTGGGCTGAGGCCGCGTATGTGCTTTAGTAATGATCCCTATCGATGGAGGACCCAGATTTTTGAAGTTGTGAAGATTGTTTTATTCTTAATCAGATTCCGTTTGTTGCCACAATGGTTACCACTCGTAATGCTTGCACATTTTCCCCAAACCATACTTTAAAGTTCGTTAAAGTTACCGGCAAACATGGCAGCCTACTAACAAATTAAAGTTGTTGGAAAATGTTCGTGATGCAACTTCTTTTATTACATAACGTTAGTTGTTCAAACGTACAGTGACCTTACCATGTAACATTAAAGGTAGTGTTAGCTAACGCTACGCTTGCTAGATAACATTATGCACCAATTAGTTGAACGTGACTTGCATCTATTTGTCATTAGCTAGATTTGACTCATATTTGTATTTTTATTTATGCTTGCAAATGATGCTCGTTTCAATGTGTAGTAGTCAGTGGTGTGTAACCTTACAGCCCGTGTCTGGGCTGGAGTTTCTCACCATCTTCTGTCTGTTTCTACCCCTAGCACTGAACAAGCGGAAGACATTCACAGATTTAGGCTTCAGCTTGTTTTAAGGCTGTGCATCATCACGATGCATCCCGACCCACCTAATCACTAACTGAAGAAATCAGGTTAGTGACCCATCCTCTATAACAGTGCTTAATTTATGGTCCCCGAAACTATTGATGGTATCATGGGGAGGTGCTGTGTCAAATTAGTTATCACAAAAAAGTAGAAGGTACGTTTAATTGTCACATTACAAGAGAGTTGTAAAATGAAATGTGGTTTGTAACTCTCATACAATCTACAGTATACAAAAACAATCATAAAATGGAAATTACAATACACAGAAATAAACTATATTCTATGGTGCAGTGCTGAGGATCAATTTGAGTTAGAGGACACTATGCACCACAAAAGTGGAGGTTGCCATTATTTCTACCTATTTTCTTTCTGTTGTGTTACTGTTATCTCAGATCATCCAGTTTATATAATATATTAAAGTTTGGTGTCAACTGTAAAGTGTGTCAGCTGAGTAGATCATTTGAGATGAAAAGGAGCCAACAGCCTGGGTCTCTTCTGTGTATAATGGATGTAGTTTTAATGTTACTGAGCACTTCATTGGATTTAATTGGAGTAAAGTGAATGAGTGAGGGGATTAATTATGTTGTGCTTCTCTTGTCTCAACAGTGTCCATTGCAGCTAGAAGTCTCACTCCTGTTACAGAAACAGGTGGGTCGGAACACAGTGATGTGATTTATCAAATAAATCACCAATCAATAGGGATGGGTATCCCTACTTGATACCTTTAAGGTATCGACCGTAACAGTCCAGTATCGAGTGGTATCAAAACGTCTCCGGTCAAACCAGTACTTCAATCGATACTTTTTGTAAACCGATTGCGGCAAAAAAATACTATTTGTATGCTTTTGCTTGCAGCCAAACATGCAAGTAACACACGGAAAGAAAGAAGATCACACCTTTTTTCTCTTGTGTGCCTGCACCTGCTTGTAAGTCCATGTGTGATTTTAACAGCCGCTCACCTTTGGCTGAAGTCTCAGACATGTTCGTCACTGTTGTAATTTTATCACTACAAGCTTGGCTTTCCGTTGGTTTCATCTACTGGTATCACTGAAAACTAGTCTGTACATTTTTATTTGCTTTTCAAATCACCGATCAGATATCAGAAGTAGTATGTGTGATCAGCTGGATGTGCAGTCTCTCTTTTCCTCTATTTGCTTCTTTAGACTCTTAAGAGTAGTTTAGTGACTTGTACAATGAAGCTATACAAAAAAGGCAGAATAGGAAATGTTTACAGTCTGTAATTACAACGTAGATCTATTTTAATTTTGGTTTTGTTGACAGTAAAATGGCCAATAATAGCCTATAAACTACACGTGTTAGCGCAAGTTCACTCATTGATTTAATGATAACTTATTATATCCACGTATTTAACCTGCAGTTAACTCGCTTCGCATGTCTTTCCAAGCACACTATTGGATGATAAGTACATATAAGTTTGCACGCTCCTATTGCCTATTAATAAAGTTACTGATAAACAAAAAATGGTCAAGAAGTACGAGTGGCAACAAATTTTGTTTCATTTGTTGAAAACTGTAGAAGTTGTCCTCCCTCGATAGGTATCGTCTAAATATGCAAAAACTGCCGTTGGCCCACCACCGAACAGGGTATCACATAATTTCATATATTATAAATAAGGTTCATAATTACAAAACAAATGATAGAGCACCAGTTTCACCCTTGGAGCATGCTGCCAAAGCTATGTGAGACAAAAGCTGCAAGTTAATGGACTCCCCACTCCAGAGACTTGGAATGAGACATCTCTGGGAGATAAAACTTGAGACGAGCACATTTCCATAAACGCTGTAATTTCCTCTCTCCTCAAGCTTTAAAAGAGATCAATTTGTTGCTAAGAAACAAAACTCAAACATTGGAGGATCGATTCTCTGCAATTCTTCATATGTGGCAGAAACAATGACGAGGAGCTGAGAATCATTACAGTGTTGTGCAGAGGAATTACAGATGCCAATCTTGTTTATGCCATGAACACACACACGCACACATTTGTCTTACCATCTTTGTGGGGACATCTCAGTGACATAATGCATTTCCTAGCATGTTAACCTAACCATAACCATCACAATTACATGCCTAACCTTAACGCTAACCTAATTCTATCCTGAACCCTAAAACCAAGTGTTAACCCCTAACCAGCCTTTTAAACTTGTGGGATCCAGCATTTTCCGCGCCACAAAGCAGTTCGGTCCCTAGAAGTATAGTAAATCCCAGTTTTGTACACCACGAACACAGTAAAACACACACCCACACAAACCCAACCACACACCCACACACAAAACCTCTACAGATGCAAATACAGACACTCATAAGCTGAGTGCGCTTTGGATGCTCAAGAAAACTCCATAATAAAAAAACATCCTATTGTGAATGTATCTATAAAATGAACTGCTGCTGGTGATGCACTGCTTTCTGTTTTGACGTAAGCAATAAAAGTGATAGGGAGAAAAAAATCTGGAAAAAGAGGACACTGAGAAAAGGTGATTGAGCAAAATGGGAGGACTTGGGAGGGAAGAGCAATAGAGTTGGATAAGATCTAAGAGAAAAGAAACTTAGGCGAACAGAGGATAAGAAAAGCCTCAAGGAGAAGAAATCGACTAAGCCCACACAGAGAACAGAGTGGCCTAACCCTGCTGCTGGTATGAAGGAAGAACAAAGATGGAGGGTGGCGAGGTGGGGAGGAGAGGAGGTGAGAGGGAAAGGATAGATAGATGAGAAGTTCAGAGAATGAGATCGGGAAGAGGTAAAGGTGGCCTGGCTTGCTCTTTGAGTGAAGTACAAAGGGGAAGCTGTAGGAGCAAGAAGATAGTGACAAGCTTGGACTACATCCCATGTCCGAATATGCGATACCCTTTTGCACGTGTACAGTACACGATTTCTCATCCTTACATGAAGAAATCAATAGATGGTGGTTCTGATGGACAAGAGTAAAAAAGGAATTCTGTGACGTTTTTAGTTTATGGTTCAGTTCAAGTAAAATCCAAAGAATTGCAAAACCACAAAAGTGAAGTTAAAGGGAGAAAAATGTTTGTGTGAAGAATATGGTCTCATACAAATGTAATTATTACTGTTGTTAAAGATGAAAGATATTAGGTATTGGTAGATGTGGAATTTTTTGTCATACCATACAAATATCTGAATGGCCTACATTTTAGAACAGCCTTTGATTTTCAAGTCTACCAGTAGTAGTAATGCAAGATCACACATCTCCCCTTCTCCAGATCCTAGAACCTGTAGGATCAAACCCTACGGGTGCTTTTAAATTTAACCAAAGTTACAGTGACACACACACACAATGGAAGTTGCTGAATGTTATCAGCCACAAGAGCAAGAGATTTTCCAGGGCTTGAAATAAATCAAACAGCTATATACGTACTTCTTTCATACATAAACACTGCGTTTGACAGCATTCATATAGCATACTACTGTTACAACTTAATCCTTGGTCGTCCTCGTTCAGGGATCTAAGCTGTACAGTATAATTTCATAAGACATTATAAAGACTTAATATTTAGTCCGTGAAAGTTGTCAGTGCAGTGTTTCCACTAGTGAGTCATCATGGCAGACGGTGCAGGTGAAGAGATGTAGGAATAAGATTACCTTTCTATTACAAAAACATAATGTGCCAATCTAAAATTTAATATCATGTTGAACTCTGAGACTGAGAAAAGCAGAGTTTATTGTTGAGAGGCCTTAAATCAGTTAATAAACACCAGTATCTACTATGAGGTTATAGTTATCCTATAACAATTCTGTACCCAGGTATATTATTTGGACCCATTTTGCAGAGAAAACACAGAAAGATATGTTGTCTATTGCGTTACAAGACGCAGACACGGTGGATATTTACAAGCACGGACCAGGTAAAGAGAGAGTGAACAGTGAACACACCAGTGAAGATGGTTGGTTTTGATCGTTTCTATGGGCTACATCATTAACAAACCTCCTCCACATGTGGCGCACCGGCTGATGTGAAAATGAATCGCAGGTGGTAAACTCCTTCTGTGACTTTTTGGCAACTTTATAAAACATACTTCTGATGAAGAAAGTCAACAGAGCAGACACATACAGGGAGAGAGCAAGAGAGATGTAAGCAGTTAGAGCAGAGACCAGAGATGTAGGTGTGGGTGTCTGTGTGTGCGCGTGGGGAAAAGAGAACTGAAGGGAAAAGCAAGGTGACCAGATTCAAGTAGTGAATAAACACTAAAACAAGATGGAGAGTGAAGTAAAATTTAAATGGTGAAATAAGAAATAACCTACTAGAAAACAAACAGATTCCATCTGGTAGATGTTGAGATTAGAGATCTCCCGAGCCAATCCAAAAGAATCCAGGAGCTGATCCAGGCATATTTTAATGGTGTCAGCTAAAATAAAGCTGATAATTCAATTCTTCACTGGTTAAAATGACAAATTTCCCATGCAGCTGAGCAAATGTCTCTATAAACGCTGAACCCGAGAGTAACTGGATATGATGCCAAAATTAAACTTGTCTGTTGGTAACAGTACATTTTCTATGATTCATCGATTAATAAAATGCATCGACACAAATTCTTTGCATCGATGCTTCGTTTAATCCATATAACTAAACACAACAGTGTTTCACACGGACATTTATTACTGTCGCGCTTACGCTGTGAACACGACGTGATTATAATGGACCTGTTTGCAAAGTGGAGGAAGAGAGAAAATAGCGAGGGACAAAGAAGAAAGTGTCCAAAATGTCCTTTCTTTATAATAACAAACAAAAGACGTTGCGTGTGCAGGATCACTCGTTTCACATTTCACGTGTATTCTTGACAAAACGTGGTTTGGAGACCAGCGTCGGGTGACACAGCTGCTGTCAGCTTGTGTAGTGTGTGACCCCCTGTCACCGATCAGTCACGTAGTGTGAACGCCACAACGACTTCAAGACTCCCATCACATGACTGCAAGTTGTGTAGTCTGAACAGCACGGTCATCGGCCGACGCTGAAAGTCGTGTAGTCTGCACGAGCCTTTAGTATAACTTGTATATGTGCACTTGTGATGTTTGTGTTTGTAAAGCAGCTGTCTGATTGTTGGTCTGATGTTTACTATATGACACACTATTAATTTCCGAAAGGACCAATAAATATCTATCACCTATAAACATGCATAGCTGATCCCGAATTTTTTAAAAGTACTTCTTAAACGATGCATCAATGAATCGAAATAACCGATAGAAGCTTCAAATACTAAAATCATCGTTAGCTGCAGCCCTACTATAATCTATAATAATTTAAGCTTGCAAACTTAATAGTTTATAGTTATCAGGTCAAAATCAGTATCAGCAGATACCCAATATTAAAAGGAATCGGATTGAGATCGATTGAGAAATAATTTATCTGGACATACCTAGTTGAAATATTTCACCAGATAACTGAAAACGTTGACCTGCTGGTGGTCTGAAGTAAGCTAGTCATGGGTCAGTGCCAGGTTCAACGTTTTAAACCCAACTGTTGTGGACACAGAGAGTGCAACTGCAACTAATCTTTATATTTTATCATTCACTCAGTTCAAAAAATAGATTTGAATTTATCATGAAACAGCAGAGTTACCCATGAACCTCCCTGCTCCTGTCTCCTGTTTTCAACCCACCTCCGCCCCTGTACTCACTCACCTCTTCTGCCCCTGGCCAAGTCTTGAAGATAGGCTCTTAACCTGCTTTCCCTCTTATCGATCGAACAGCTCGTCTTTTTTCCCCACCTTTCATGTGCAGTATGTGATTCATAACTCATCTTTGGACCAATCAGTTAATTTTTTCCCCCCGTCTACCATTCTTTTTTTGTCACTCACTCCTTTTCCTTTTCTCACCTGGATATATAATCCTGACAATGTCTCCGTTCATTCATAGCCCTCTTTCATCCCTCTCTCCTCCTTTTCTTGTCCTACCTCTTGGGTCCCTGGATGCTGATCATCCCCATGTCCTCAGAGTGGTCTGTCAGCTGGCAGCGGAAGCCTTGGTCCTGAAGTACCGTTTAATATGGTTCCAGTTGTGTTCTGCTACACCACCTCCGATGGCCAGATAGTATGCATCACCTGGAGGAAAGGCAGGAAAGGAAAGAAATAAATAATGATTAAGTGATGGTTTTCCAGAGGTGGGACCAAGTCATTGTTTTACAAGTCCGAGTCAAGTCTCAAGTCTTAGCACTCAAGTCCCAAGTCCAAACCGATCATGACTGGCAAGTCCGAGTCAAGTCTCAAGTCAAGGACCAACAAGTCCAAGTCTTAAACTTTGAGTTTCGAGTCCTAAACAACCCATAATGCGCTCTTCACCAAATGTAAAACCATTTCAAAAGTTTTATAAGTTAAAAATAAAGAAAATGTATTGAATGAAGCATTAGCCTGTACAGAAAGAAGGCAGAGGTGCAATTTCACACAAAAATGTTCTATAATTTCATGAATTAAATTAAATGTTCATGTAGGGCTGCTAATTATTTGGTCA